TCGATGAGGCTGTGAAAAATGCCTAAAAACAGTTAATCGATTTCCATCCCCAGGATTTTTATAAGAGGCACCAATGAACTTCCATTCAAATGGCAAAAGTGCATCGAAAATATTATATTTTTCATTAAAAAAAAAATATATAATACACACATCAAAAGTGTCTAGGGATCAAGTACGTTTAAGAGTATTGCTGCAATTAGGGTTAATTATATTAACTTTTTTGTATCGCTATTGATACTTTTTAGTGAGTTTTAACATTTAAATAAGGAATATTGTTTAAAATTCGATAATAAGAAGAAAATCGATTGCCAATGTGGTTTTGTATAAAAATGAGTTATAGCGTTTTGACAAAATCATTACAATATCTGCATCGGAACCGAAACAATTTACATTATTATGGACAGACGACATCATTTAACCCGAGAAGTGATGATGCGAGCCGTCGGAATGTTGGAAGCTGGTTCCAGGCAACGTGCTGTGGCTTTCACTCTTAACACTACACAGAGCGTCATAAGTCGCCTCTGGACGCGCTATCGCATGACGGGCAGCGTGGCCGAGCGACATGGAGGACGATCTCGCATCACGACTCGCAGACAGGACCGGTATATCCAAAATACTGCTCGATGGAATCGTACCATGACCGCCATGATGTTGGTTACGAGGCTCCACAGCTCCTCAGGCTTGCTAATAAGCGATCAAACAATCCGAAATCGTTTACGTGAAGTGGGTCTGCGATCCCGAAGGCCGCTCAGAGTTCCACCTATTGCACCCTGCAATCGCAGGACCCGTTTACGATGGGCTCGCGAACACAGAAACTGGGAGGAAAAAGACTGGCGCTATGTGTGCTTTTCGGATGAATCCCGCTTCGGTATGAGACCGGATACAAGACGTACTCGAGTTTGGAGAACATCTGGACGTCGTGAACGTTTGAGATATTGTCAGGAAGTTCATCCATATGGTGGGGGAACAATAATGATATGGGCCGGTATTTGGATCGGCGGAAGAACCGACCTCATTTGGATCAGGGGTAACCTCAATGCTCAAGTTTACGCAGAGAGGATTGTTTCAGATGTTATCATCCCTTTGCGAGGCCAGTTGGGTGATTCATTTCAACTAATGCATGACAACGTGTGTGGACGTGCCACACACGGCTAGAGTCGTAACACGCATTCTTGCCGAAGCTCGTATCAACGTTCTGCCGTGGCCTGCTCAATCACCAGACCTCAATCCAATTGAGCACGCATGGGATATGCTTCAAAGAAGAGCTGTGCCGAGTATGCATACCGTACATACTCTACAACAATATTTTGACTTGTTACAAAACACATGGGCGGCCATTCCTCAAAGTGATTTTGATGAACTCATCTTAAGCATGCCAAATCGCTGTAATTGTGTGATTCGTGTTAATGGTGGAAATACAGATTATTAATTTTCTTATCTTTACAATAAAAATGAGCAAAATCATCATTTTCGCCATTTTTTTGTCATTTAATTGACGCCGTTAATTTGAGTTTTTTCCCACAATTTGCGAAAACATCAATTTTAGTTTATTTTAATTAAATATAGGGGTAAGCGGTTAAATAAAACATAAGCATTAAAGTAAGAAGTCGTCCTGGAAGACTAGATTTGGTAAATATTGCTTAAATAATGTTTATTTCAAAAATATTCACTTGATCCCTAGACACTTTTGATGTGTGTATAATAATACAACGGAAATTTCGTAGGTAAGGACCTAATACTTTGAGGTAGTGAATTTGAAGCTATCGCGGTGAAGTGTTGATCGAGGTGGTGGTCATATCTGTAAAGAAGGATAACTTGTCGATCGTATGTTACCACCAATCCCGATCGTTCCTATTTCATTTAGCTATAATCTGTATAAGATTTATTCCGTTCAATCATAAATAGAGGGGTCGCCTCAAATATACGCTGCGAAAAAATAATTGTATACTTTTTTATGTAGAGAATATCTTCTATATCATAGTGCATTTTGCAAAGTGAGTGATGCGCAGCTCAGCACTATTCGATGTCGCTTGCCGTAGCTTCTTTATCGTTTTTTGTTTAAAGAAATGTAACCTTTTTTTGTAGAAGCTAATGTTTAAGTTGCATTGCTCGTTTTAATGCATCGTAGCATTGCGTGGCTTGGCTACGGTAATTGGAGATGACCCTAAATTCGAATTCTTATGCACCGGCGATCCGGGGCCGAACGCTATGACAAACAGGCGAATCAGGAGCGGCAGGTTGTAGTGTGAAAGTACGAACCCCTAACATCTTCATCTATGTATTATACGTTTCCTAGGAAACACCCTTACTTTTCCTGATTCCTGAAAGAGTTCCAACTCATATTTACTACCTATAATATTAGTGTCTTAAATTTCCTGTCATAAACTATTTCTTGCACTTTGACTGTTTACTCACTTTTCATGTCTGATCCCCAGACCTTGGCATATTCTATCGTACTAATAGTGTCTTCGAATTTTGCTATTCGTTTTTCCAATGCTAATTACGTACTATTTCATCAATTTCACTTTATAAGCATATTCATTTCACATTTAATATTTTTATATGTTGACATTGATGTACAGATCTGTTACTCCTCTTAAATACTATATGTATATATTTTTCCATAGATCATCCTATAAATTATTCCTTCCTTTGATATGTAATCTTAGCTGTAGAAGCGTTGTCATTTCTGGCTGCTTACATTTTGCCTCCTCTTCATTTCAAATTCAAAATTGACTATTCGAATTTCGATGTTCTTTCTCTACCATTCGCTCGTCGTTTCTATACCGACCGAGTTATAAGGGTCTTCAAAACGAAATATACGAAGCCTCATCTTTCTTACACCTCTTACTTTAGTTACTCCTGCCGCCCTACGTGTCTACCTGAACTAAGTACCACGGTTCCCCACCTAAACCTGCTCTTCACCTCCTCTCCTGCCTCTGCCCTCGGTCTCCAACCTTGGAGGGCAGAGGTCCGCAACTCCGTGTATCCAACTTTGATCTTCTTCATCTACACACCACTTTACTCTCCTACATAACACTCTCAGGTTCCTTTTGATATAAACTTATTGTTATACTTTATCATGCTCCACTCTTTGATTGCATACCCTCCTATCTCTCCCTAGCTTTCCACCCTGACTTTCTAGCTCTTCCTCCTCGACAAGGTGCAGATGCGGGAATTATATTTCACAATTGAGTTCTATGCAACCGTCCACACAGAGCGGCAGCGGCGGGGCGCAGTCCAGGCTTTAGCGGGATTGCATATTATATTTTTTTACAACTCTTGAGTGTGTTTTTATTATGTTTCAACATGATTTCTACCGAAATTCTTTTGCGTTGCTTCTGTAACTCCAATAAAAGCACAATTTTTTTCTTGAACACTGTTTGACAGCGATATGGTGCTTTCTTCAAAATCGAAGTAGAAAAAGAAACTTGGCTGCTTTTGATGACACACCGGCTGCCTTCGCGCCGCTGTCCCGCCGCGAACTACGCGTGGGACTGCTGTGTGGCACGCTCCGGTACACATTCGCTTCCCGGAGGCGGAGATCCGGCCCGGACCGCTTTTCCCGCTGTACCGCGTCTGTGTGGCCTGACTTTTATTAAGGTGGGAAATTAGCAAACGTCATTTTTACACATGGAGATGAACTTTATTCACTTCTTACCGATTTTTTTGTGTAGTTTATAAACCTCTAGACGTCGATTAATTTATATTTGCTATTGAAAAATTTATCTTCATATTTTCTTCAATGTTTATAATGAAGTTGAAATGATCCATTTATCGATCTGGTTCGTGAAAAGGCATGTATCCAATATCTTCGGTGTCTTTTTATTTGAGTATACAAAAACCAAACAGACAGTATAAATGCAACGTGCTGAATGAGTTCTGTTTTGTTAACCATTTTTGTCAAAGAAGGATCTCAGCTACATGTACAAACACTACGGCGATCAACTACGAAGCGAGTACTTTAAGTGGGGCGGAGCCGCTACATCGCTGTTCCCGCGCAGATTAAACCGCGCGTTGACGCAGATCTGCGTTTACGCCACGGCGCGCGTGATTCCGCGTCTCGCGCGCCGTCGCGTGGCCTTAGTTTTAATTTTTATGAAATATATGTATTTCTATTTCTAAACTTGTCCATAATAACTGGAACTCTAAATAATCATAGTGATTATCCCGAAATCAAATCAAGGAAGCAGAACTATTGAATATTTTGTGCGCTAATATGTATAATGTGTATACTCAGTTGTCATTTATTTATCAATCGTGCAGGTGTTCAAAATTATTTTAAAATTATACTTGTGAACATGACCTACTTGTGAATGAATGATATTGATCTTCAGAGAAAAAATTAAATAGTTTTCGAGTTCGAAATAAATGTGTTTTTTATTTTTATTGATTTTACGAGGAGCATAATTCATTAAAAACTATTAAAATCAAGTATAGATTTCAAAATTCTAATCTAATTCGATATTTGCATTGCTGATGAATTGTAGTTCAAATAGTGTGATTTACTTTGATAAATATAGAGGATTAAGAAGAGTATACTAAGTTAATAATAATTTAATGTTATTTAGTATGCAATAAGATCAAATTTGAAATTTTATTCATTATTAAATCTTTTTGGGAAGTTACGAACATATCTTAGGTAACAAAGACAACCGGTGCTTTCTTACCTTTTCCACCATTTTTACTTATGACATCTTGGTATGTCGTCAGTGTCTTTATTGTTTCTTGTCACAGTCGAGTTCTTCGCAAATAGTTTCAGAATTACATATTACTGGGAATTTCCTTTTGGATTTGTGAACGAAATTGCTCAATGTTCTCAATTTGATTTCTTCGTCTTCCATAGCGAGAAGGACGCACTTCATTTCGGGCCATGGTTTGTAAACGTCATGGTCGTTAATTACTACCAGTTTGTTCACGTACGGATGACACAAGTCCATGGTGCGAGATATATTTCCTCGACTATGCGTTTTGAAAACCACGTCAACCTACAAGATGCATCATTGGAATAATTAACAACGGGGAAACGACAAATGGAGAACGTAATGCTCGAAATATACAGGTCGTTACTTCTTTTTGAAATATTTTAAACACAAAAAATGGATCCAATAATGCGTCTTCTAGGTTTAAATATGGAAGGAAAATAAATAAAAAGAAATTTAAATTGTATTAACAACTTGTTGTTGCTTATAAAAATTTAAAAATCGAGCTTTAATTTTTCCCTGTTCTGTGGACGACTAAGTAGTACAGGGTTTTCCTTATGTTTCCATAATTAGGCAACAAGTTTACTTAAGCGCTCGCAATTCAGTTTTAAACGTAGTATACACAGATATTCTCTAAAACCCCTTCGGGGACTTATTGGTTGTACGTTTTTATTTCCAAATATTGTGATATGCACACTAGCAACACTGTACTTTTCTTTAATGGTTTTGGCCACATTGCTTGTATTCGGCACGATTCATTAGGCAAAGCACATTTGCCATTTCAGGCCATGGCTCATAAGTCTGGTCGATGACAATCAACTTCAGGATTCTGGGGTGATTTAGATCCATTGTACGCGAGATATTGTTACGGCAGTGCGTCTTGAACACCACGTCCACCTATAAGACGCGTCATTGGATTCAAATATGTTAACAGTGCAATAGTAGTTTCTTTATATGATCTCAAATGTATTCAAGACACGTGCTATGCTATCTTTTAATAATGCCACCCTGTTACGAAAGATCAGTTACGATGGTGGACCAAAGGGATTAAAGTACCTACTCTAACAGGGTATTTGACACAAAATGACGCTCACACTCAACATAAATTTAAAAAAATATTTCATTGATTTTGTAAACTCACATGAATATGCTGAAAAGTAATCTACATGGGCAGGAGCTTCGTCACTTTTTAGCCAAACTATCATTAGTATAATAAGTCAAGTATGGTAACTCCATACAAACGTAGCAGCGTGGCTTGTATGAGTGCACGCCCATCGTGTGCCGTACACGGACGCACATTTTCGCATAATCTTGCAATGCATTCGCGTTGCATATGTGTGCGTCACACATACAAGTCGCGCTGTTACGTTTGCGTGGAGTTACCATACTTGTCTTTTAACATAGTAAGTTTTATGGAATTATTACACTATGCTATTGCGGTTGTGACGTTACAAACAGGTATTAACGTTTTTTACTGGTTTATTTTTCAACGAATTACAATTCTGTTCTCAGATTACTTGTCAAATACCTTATAACTAACTGCTAAGGCTTTTTCATTAATTATTTAGGTATTTTAAATGTATTTTAAATGCATGTATTCTTAAAATTTACGAGTTGCATTTTTGTATTAACTTTAAAACAAAATAATTGCATAATTAATTGAAATTCTGGCTATAAATATTAACTTACCTTAGTTTTTATCGCGTAACAAACAGAGAACACAACAAAGCTTATTGATATGGCAGTGACACCGAGAACTGGGAGTATTTCATATCCAGCACTAGACATAAGATATCCGAGCGAAAATTTCTTGGACCATGTGGAGTCATATTGCGTGGGAGGTACAAGTCCGAGAATGGTCCGTCTTGGATGCATTTCGGGTACCCTACAGTTTTGTAGCACCGTGCACCAAATAGGTGCACGTGACTTGATCAATTTTGAAAAGAATTTTGAAGCCATTAATAACTTAGCTAATTTTGTAACCTGTTTTAATCATTTGTTGTAGTGAATTTAAATCGTTATATTTATTCAAGGATTATGCCTAAACCTAATAAAAAAATCTGAATTATTTATATTTTCACATCACACTTATATATTTCGCAAACCTCTTTGACGGTAATCTGTCACGGGAATTTATTGTTCTTTGTGTATGTACGTTTTTTCAAATATTTTACTTTTCTATTGTTACTAAAAAGTGATATCAAGATATTTACAATCTTTGTGGTAAATGTTTCTTCGAATTAAAATGAACGGGCATGAATATTTTAGATACACATGTTTGATACGTAATGGTTTTGTCAAACATCCTTTCTTACATGATACTTTCTTTAGTCAGCTTACTTAGGCAAACGTCTGGTGATTTAAATTTAAATAACCTTTATGAATAAATCATAATAACATATTTTAATAAAGTTTATCTAAATTCAGCATAATTATAATAATATGATTGCCTCAAAACGCAGTGAACTGTCACGGGTGACCATGAGACCTGTAATGGACCAGTTGGTAGGTCAATGACCAGAAACGTTGGTTTATTTGAAGTAACAAATATACGCGATTTAGATCCGAAAAAATAGAATATTTCTATTTTTAACGTAAGCGTAACAATCGCAAAAACCTAAGATAAATTATTTTATATTTATTTGTCATAAGTTACTACGAGGTGCTTGAGCTTTTTCTATGGTAATCGAAGCATAGATAAACAACCTTAACTATACTTACCACTCCGTTACCTGTGTTACCACACAAGTCTCATTATTACACACGTACAGTCGCAAACGTCTACATTTATATTGTGTTTCAAAGCACGTCCACTTATAAATTAATTTGGCGTCACAATTGCGACCTGGCCTTGCTTTCGTTTGAGAAGTGGCCACAAAAGACTTGTTGGTGTAAAACAATTGGCTCGGCTGGCTCCCACCCAGCTTCCAACCATTATGTTTATACAACGTATGATAGGTATTCTCAAACTCCATTTTTTAATATTGTAACTAGGGTTCGTTGTGAATGCATTTTTTGCCCTTAGGATTGCATTCAACAATGTTCATTTTCATTATACATTTTTTAAAATGATATTCCTAGTAATTTTAGTTTCAAGATCCAGTTATCCATTGTACACTAAGAGACTATCTATATTATGCAATACAATTGACTAGTATTTTCAGTCATTACGTGTACTGTAAAGGGTTGTGATCCGATGGTGGAAAGCTTCGGAGACGTTTAAGCAAGATCCTTAATTAAAATTGAATTTTCGCTATTATATATATAAAGCTACAAGTTTAGACTCACTGATAGAAATAGAACGAATACTTCTCGGTGTGGTGGAAAAAATATATTTACATCGTTGTACGCGGATAGATTCCAATTCAAATATGCGAGGACTTGAATGTGAAAAATATAAAAGAAAGATCAATGGCCTGCAAAAAGTATAACATATGGATATTTGTGCACTTTTATGAGGTACCTACATCCCGGGCAAGTTCCGCCTTAGTAAAAAATGTTCGAAATTCAAATAAACAAGATGGCCGCCATACAAATTTCGAAGTTTTCTATCAGGGAAAGTATTAGAGATAGGTACAGTCCCATATCTTTCTACATAAGTTTTAATTATAGTGCCCCTCCCTATCAACCTCTTGGTTATACGGGAAGGGCAATATCACCTGTGCGAGCGAACCCGGGACCATCAGGTCCAAATATCCAGGTATACAAATATGGTTTGAAGCTGGGTGGGTAATGTTTTGCTTCAGTCACTCCGGGTTTGTGGTCAACAAAGATGTCAGATCCCGATTAACTGAAGAATATTGCCGACGACTTGATGTTTTATTCCATACCGGTCTCAGTGGAAAAAATCCTTACAAGGCGATCAATACCTTTGACATACCGGTTCTGACTTACACCTTCGGGGTTGTCAAATGGCCGAATATTGAGATTGACAGCGTTGAGAGGGCTACCCGTGTGATGTTGACCAAATAAAGGACACAGCACCCAAAGCCAGTGTTGGGCAAAATTTAATCGTTCTGGCAATTAAAGATTGACAATTGATTATTTGTCAATTGCGAAACAGCAATTAACGATTGATCAATTGTTAGTTGCGAGAACCGCAATTAACAATTGATTAACAATTGATCAATCGTTAATCGCAAGTATCTACAATTAACAATTAATCAATTTTCAATCTTTTCAATGTTTTTGATTAACAATTAACAATTAAAACTGACAATTATGATAAATTTATAGGGCATATGGGGGTGAGTTAGGGCGTTGGTTGTGGGGGCCTGTTGGGGGCCTGCTGGGGGCAGGTTAGGGGGCCGGTTGGGGGCCCAGTTGGAGGCCCGGTTGGAGGCCCGATTGGGGGGCCCAGTTGGAGGCCCCGGTTGGGGGCCCGGTTGGGGCCCCCGGTTAGGGCCCGTTTGGGGGGCTCGGTTCGGAGCTATCAGGCCCCTTAACTGGGCCCCATCCGGGAACCCCAACCGGAGCTCCAACCGAGCCCCCAACCGGGGCCCTAACCGGGGGCCCCAACCGGGCCCCCAACCGGGCCTCCAACTGGGCCCCCCAACCGGGGCCCCCAACCGGGCCCCCCAACCGGGCCCCCCTAACCGGGGCCCCCAGCCGGGGCCCCCAACAGGGCCCCCCAACCGGCCCCCAACGGACCGGAATTGATTTTAATTGCAAATTTAATTGCAATTAAAATCAATTCAATTGAAATCAATTGCAATTGAAATCAATTGCAATTAAAATCAATTGCAATTAAATCAATTGCGACGCGTCGCAATTGATTTAATTGCAATTGATTTCAATTGAATTGATTTTTTAATCTGATTGAATTATTGATTGAAACTTAATTGATTAACGCCCAACACTGTCCAAAGCAAGCGGTGGAGCGGGTGTCTTTGCCAAGATCTTTTCTGTCGGTGCAAGAGGCATGATCGATATAGGTAGGTTATGTGCCAAGCAAGTAAGGGTCTTGCAAAATTATTTCTGCGCCCAGAAGTACGCAAATTTCAACTTTTCGTTGTCCTGTCCACAAAAGCAAAGTTTTTGCAGAGAAGCTCATAGTTCTTTTCACGTTTTTATGTTTGAACTAATTAGAAAATGATACTGATAACCAAGAAACAAAAATCAAGTTACATGGTGTTATTTATTCTTCTTTCGAAGTCGCTGCACTTCATTTTAATTTCGGCGTAGTAGGGTGAAGAGGAAATTGAAACTTCATTACGTATTTGCACGCTAGCTACATTTTACATACTATTGTATTTACCGTACATGAGTACTCTATAGCGCTAGAGATTATGTAGATTGTGGCGGAAACAAATTTTAGATCTTTATTGAAATCTTTCCTGCTCTGCGTAATTTCTGTCTCTATCCCTGGAGAGAGAAATTACGCTGTCACTGTAGACAATGTACGTCAGTGTGTCATGTGTTTGGATTGTTGTAATATAATTAGAAAAGAAAAAAAACAAAATAACTTATTTCACGGTTACCCATAATCGATAAATCGATGACACGGTGCCTAAGTAAAGCCAAATGCATAGTACAATATTCTTACAAAAGTATTTAAGTGATCTGTGCTCGTTGGAAAGGTAGAAAGAAAGAAATTTATTTGGTCTGTGTTTACAAGAAATGACACCACAAAACATAAAAAAAAGACGAAACAGAAGTAAAAAGAAAAC